ATTGTGTAGTCTTGGATATACAGGGTGGGCCAAAAGTCTGGATACAGTCGAATATCTCGTATAAATGATGCAGTTTTGAAAAAATATTTTAAATAAAAGTTGTAGGATTTAAAAAGATCCATTTATTAATCTTATCAGTTTGGTAAAGGCGTCAACTAAGGTCAAATGAAGGTCAACTTCATTTTTTTTTATGGAATCACGTAGTTTTCTTAACATTTAAATCTTAAATCAATTTCTCTGTCCATTCTATGTATAAAAGTATTAGAGTAAGATCATCGGAAAGTGAACACTTTTCGAGATATTTTTCACCTTGATATTTTTCAGGCCAAAATATGAAATATCTCATAAAATGTTCACTTTTCGATAACATCATCTTAACATTTTCCTACATAATAATATAAGAGAAATCGTTTACTGATATTAATCACTGCATATTGGTGTATCGATGCATTTGCAAAATGCAATGGATTTTTTTTTAAAGATTTTTCTATGCTTTGCTTAAAGCGATCGATTCCATGCGAGTTTCCACAAAATGAGACGCCAGCTTCACACACACATTTCTGCAAGATGGACAAAACTTTTTTATGATTTTATGGTTAAATAAACAAATGCCACGTGAATTTTATAAAAATTTGCATTTCGAGGTGCTATCTTTATAAACCTGTCGTCTTCATTTTTCTATACACATATCTAGTTTCACAATTGCTACATTACTCACGTGGCTAAATGAATTTTTTATGTATGTAAGAAAAATAAGAGATTTAATAATACTTTTACAAAAAGTCGGATTTAAGAATTTGTAAACAAATAAATAAGCAAACTTGCATTTACAAGATTACATATAAGGATGATAAGACGCGCGCGAATATGGTAGTCGAATTAAAAGCATCTTAAATGAAACATTCACCGGACGGTCGCAGTTCGTTTAAGCCCGGAGCATGGGACTTTTAGCATGACATGCAAGACCTACCACCCTTTTATAATTCCATATTACCCTTCCCCGAAGAGAAAAAGGATTCCAGATCCGGTTCGAGGTCAATTCCCTCGACTTACACTCAAGGTTGGAGCGTGTGACACGGCCGTTAAAACACAATAGATCATTTCAAGCTGTTGCGGCATATAATTAATCTTAACAACAGCCGTGCAGATATTTGTGATCGGTACGGCCTTCGCGCGAATAACAAGACCTAAATGATTTCCCGCATCTTCTTCTACGCTAATTTAGCGTAGAGCATCGACAATTTACAAGAAAAACTGAAGCAGGACCAAACACGTATCGGAGAGTGTGCAATAAAAACACCGCATTGTCACAGCATTACAAGAGTTTTCGCGCAAATGTGAATATCGAGTTACCACGAGTATTGTGTATCGCGTTCAGCCAATAATTCGTGTCCGACTGGAATATCGCGCCTATGTGAGGATCGGATGATACGTCGTTCGCTACGTGAGTGTTACGTGATCGTCCATTAAAGCACGACATGGATTCTATAACAACGCAATACGACCCATAGCTTGCGAGAATTGTTACACGAAATAAACGCGTTCTAATGTTATAACTGATGCGACACGATGTTGCATGTACACACAACGTCGAGAACTATTCTTATATCACGAACTGTCCGTTATCTTTCGACGATGTGTGTACACATCACAGAACTTGGTTGTATATCAACCGTAGGTTGACCTTATTGGTCCTTACTAAACACGAATATAAGTTAATCTCTCGTAGTCGTGAAAAATTATTGATATTTGTAATGAGAATAGGTACACCCAAGAAACGGCTGTGCGCAAGCGCAATGTCGCAAAAGTGATAAAAAGCTGTACAAGTGCCGGCGCGACGGCGACAATTGGGGCAGAAGCCCAATCTGGAGGTCAACTCGCTAGGAAATTCGTTCGATCGACAGAGCGACGTACTGAGATATTCACTCGCTCGAACTTATTCGCTTTTTCATCAAATTTACAACACCGATTGTATTTTTAACGTAACGATTTTCAAACCTGTGGAAATTAACTTTCCTTTACGGACAAACGAATTCAATTTAGTTGGGAGAATCCGACGAACTGTGCGGACTATATTATAATTAATTAATCTCATTCTATGTAATTACTCGTGACGAATATTTCGCGTTCTTTCTCCGTCGAACGAAAACGCGCAGAAAAAGAGGAAAAGCACGCGACAAATTGAGAGCGATCCACGAATACGCGCGTTTTCCGCTCTCCCGCCCCTCAGCGCGCGATCGATAAATTTAATTATGTGCACCGAGTAACGATTCTTCCTTAGGTGCGGAGACTACACGCAGAAAGGGAGTCGTATATACCGGCCAACAAATATTCGTCGAGTTATTATTGAGCAAAGTGATGATAAGATAACGCGAGATGTAACGACGACGAGCCTAAGGCGGCTTCTGTTCGATGGTTCTCGATAAGCATCTACGCAGCGATCGGCGCAATTTAGCCCGCGTTACAATAACTATGCGCGAACGAGAGTAAGTTTCAGCGCAGCCTGAAACGAACGAAAATGCCATGGCGAAAGTTTCATCCGGCAACCAGTTGGAATAGAATGGAATGTGCATGTAACGAGGGGAGGAACCGTTAGAATGCTTTTTATTCGAAATACCGAAAACGATGTGTAATAAAGTAATAAAGAATTATTTTATCGCAGCATGGAACAAACGAGACGGCATCATGTGAGAAAACCGACACGTCACCTTTCGCGAAACCGGATTTTCCCCAAAATCAGCCGGGCAACGAGATTAGCTGGAAGGGCGAGTCACGAAGAACGATCGCTCGGTAGGACGACAAAGCATGTCTTGCGCGTTCAACGCGGATTAAATTTCACGAATTAAGACAAGGACCGACGCGACGGCCTTCGTGGCTTCTCCGGTAGCATCTCTCTCTCTCTCTCTTGCACGCGAGAGAGCGTAGGCCCTTTCCAGAGCCCACGTAACCGATTACGCGTCCCACGGACTTCGCCTTTATGTAACACGACTCGCACGTAATCGCTATCCTCCTTCGCCCGGTATGACCGACGCGAGGATGGCCTCAAAGATGGCCTCTCCCCGCCGATGTGAAATTCGCGGCGTTACCGCGACGCGATCGCGCGAGGTAACGCCTGTTCTCGACTGAAAAACGTGACGACTGGCAACGATCTCTGGTGTACTCACGATAAGAACGATGTCCGGAATATTGAAGGGATCCGACGAACGGGGTCCAGCGGGCGATTCCACCATCTGATGCCTCCAGAGAGGTATCCGCCACTCCGTGCGTCGTCAGTCGCTGCGATCGTGCGAACGTTGCGTCGGACGCGCGTCCTCGTGCCGAGAGAAATGCGAGCACCGCCGCCGAGAGACCGTAAACAACGCGTCCTGTTCACCCGGAACGGCGCGAATTCGATCGGCCGCGATCAGTTGTCGTAAACACTGGTCGCCATGTTGCCGAAGCACCTGTCAATACGACTGCGCGCCGGCGCCATCTTGCGCGAGCCCGCCTCTGACGAGTGGCGACGGCGTACGACTCGACACTACTAGAGCGTCACCTCTACCGATAAGACAGTTGTCGCTCGGTAACAAGATCGACGGTGCTTGCTGTGTCGCATAGTTCGTTCTCGAATGATCACAGCATTTCCCGCTCTATATTTCGCGTTGGTTCACGGGACGACATTCGTTATCGTTCTTCAGTTCGTTATCGGCGATTCATACTTCCAGTCGACGTACGTACGTTCTTTATATCAACCTTTTCGATAAAAAAGCGTAATTTCAGATGAAACAACATCGATATGAGAATATCTGGACCGAATATTCTACGATGAAAAGGTCTCATTAGAGGTAAGCTACAACCGTATTTTTCGAACACAGACCGCTCTGATAACCTTTATATGCAATGCAACTAAAATTTTAAGATTTCTTTTTTCTAGTTATACACATTATCGATATATTTGTGATTATTCAAAGAAGCGGGAACTATGCGGAAAATATGTCAAAGCAGTAATAATCTAAATTGTCCGGTACAGAATAATAATAATGATATATTTAATGACAGATCTTTAACATGCATACAACTTAAGCAAATACGTGCGAGCCCAGTAACTCGCCATAAATTTCTCTTTATTACAAATTGATACAACCTCCTTATATAAACTATATACCTCGTTCAGATATTCTTATACCGATGTGACCAATAAACACTGCTACCGTTACGTTACGTGATATTGTTACTTGGCGATATGATGCTACATTGATGCTGCCGAATGTCGGATTCTTATCGACAATTCGCGAAATCCGCTGTGATTCGAGTAAATACGGGAGCTGAGTCTGTTATTTCACTGAAGCTGAAACATCGAAATGAAAACCGAACATGCGTTTCTCAAAATGGCGTTCGTCGCGCGGGCGTTTTCATTTTTCAGTACGCGCTGGTGTGTATCGCGCGAAGTTGCATCGCATCGATACGTTATCTGTTAAGTCGTTGGTAACTTCCTTTCGTATCAACATGGCCGCGGAGCAAAGTCGCTACGCGTCTCTCGTGCTTCCTTCGAAACGAATTGGACGATCGTCGTGTTAATTAGTGTCGCGAAATTGCTTCTTGTCGGTCGTTTTCCCTCCGTCCTCGAGGAAAGTGAGTAGTTGGGATTACGGAGCAAAAGTTGACGTCAAACGAGCGGCTGGATTCATCGATTGGTAAATAATAAGTTTGTTTTCTATATTTGCTCCATTGTTGCGTTAAGGCTTAGGAATAATCGCTGTCTTTACTTAATAACATCAGAAGCGAGAAAACGCTTCCGTGCCAAAATTTTTGCGTTATATTTTTAAATAAAAAGATGTAACTACAAAATGACGATTGATTCAGCAAACTTGTAAAATTGGAATTATTTCTCTTATTCGAACAATCAATAAGTAGTCGTGAAATTAACATTGACAAAATCATGAGAAAAGAGGTTGGAAAAGAAAGCCAAATTAATTTTGCGACTATTTATTGATTGTTCGAGTAAGAGAAAAGCCCAATTTTACAAATGTGCTAAATCGATCACAAATTTTGTGGATATATTTTTTTTATTTGAATGTATAACGCAAAAAATCTTGGCATGCGTTCTCTCGCTTCTGACTTCATTAAACAAAAACAGTCATGGTAACTACCGCGGAGCCTTAATTGCGACGTCAGATTTTTAGTGCTTCGCGAAAGTAAACATAAACAAATAACTCATTATTTTCGATGATATATACAAACATACATATAACAGCTTTTATATCTTAAAATATACATATATGATTTATTATTGACGTTGGAAGCGTATACAGTGTTAGTGTCGATACAGAGGAAAGATTCTCGCATATTCGATAATAAATAAAAATTGCAATGATAATATAATAATATATAGTCAGTTGAACACACATCACATATCGGAAGGAGATATAATAGCACAATATTCCCCTAGAATAAGAGTACGCTCTGGCAACATTGCGTTGAGATATATTAATAGCCATAATTAGAACGACGGGCGCAACTATGAAGAAATGAAATCGTATGCAATGATTAATGCTATAATAAATAATAATGAGTCTATACCGTTAATTATGTGCGAAGATATCGGAAGGACTATATCGATGCGCGAATGACGACCCTTCCCTCGATTTACAAAGTAGCAAAGGGAAGGAGAATTTTTCCAAATTTACCACGGACGATTATTCGTCAAATTTAACGTACAATGCCGATTTGCGTTGATTGTAGTGGCGCTTCGTAATTACGCAAACACTCGAGAAAGGATCGACAATCGCGGCGATATTATTATCATAGAAGTACAGTAATAATAGCAGTAACAATACGATAACAATTCAGACTGCGACTGGCAAGACGCTCGTTTTCCTCCGCGGAAGAGGCATTCAGTGCGTTTCCGGTCGTCAAAATCGAATATGTCCGAATTCGCACGAATTATTCCTCATCACATCGCTCGTCACGACGATGTGTATGAACTGTCGCGGACAGTACAGCGAATACTCGATCGATCAGTGAAATTAGCGGCTAGCTCACCGAGCGATTAAATATTTCCAAACTCATGACGAATGAATGCACAGTAATCGTCGATTCTGCGAGTTACAAGTGAAATTATCTTTCTTCTCTTTCCCTTCCTCCTTTTCTTTTTGTCGAATCGTGTTTAGGTCGATCGATCTCAGTAGAGATAATTTTTTGGTTCTTCCGTCGGCTGACCGCATACTCCGTGATACTTCTTCGTGACGAGGCTTCTGCTGCGGCAGTTCTCGATCTCTAGGAAACACTCGTTGCTGTACGTCATACCGTCGGTGCCGCATACGGGGTCGTAATAAGGCGGACAGATCTTCTGGCAACCACGAAATAGGAAACCCTGGACGCATCTCTTCATGGGGACCACGTATACGTGTTTCCTGAAAAGATAATCGAGCTTTTTCTATCCATACTTAATGAACGCAAATATTAAGACGCGTATAAACATTACCGATATAGGCTGCGGTTACAAACATTTGTCCGTTAGAAAGTCGTGGAAGTGTTTGAGAGTCCGTTGCACTTCCATCGGTTTGTCATTACTGATCGTATAATCCGCGCGTCACAAATGTCGCGCGTTAGAAAGCGGTCGAAAAATAGAAAATGATTTCTTCGGGGATATAGGTCGCGCAAAAGCAACACGCTAATTTCTACTTTCGAGATTGTACGATTGTGTTCAATTGCGCGTTCTCCGAAGTAGGATACTTTCCTCTCGTGTGTTTGAACAGCGGCTCGCAAACATCCGCGGCGGCCGATAGAGACGGTTTATTATTATTTCCGCAAAAAAAAAGAAGATGCAACGGAGCGGTTCTCTGGCTCGCGCTGAATCGGCTTTCATCGGACATGCGCGTGATACTAACTCGGATTAACTATTTCTCGGAGACCAGTTTCTTAGGCGATCCTCTCTTTGAGGGACGCGTGATCGGGCATAATGAAAGTCTTCGAAAGTATTATTCCGGAAAAAGCACAATCGCGGTCGATTATACGCGCAACATGAAACCCGGGCGCTTCAGGATAAATCAATTCCGAATAATTTCTACTTTCTCTTAACGAGACAATTAAATCATATGTAATATCCCGCGCGAGCGAGTAGACTTTCCATTACATGGGACGAGAAAAAAATTCTTGCATACCAGAGCTTAAAATAAGCATGGAAATAGCTCCGAGATCATTCGATTACTTTTGTCAACGATTGAATCGATGACTAATAAAGATGATTCAGACCGTTTATTTGTTACCTCGCAGAATATATTTGAAAGTAATCACAACTTCACTCATCATTAGTGAGATTATAATTGGCTAGTAAATAGTTTGTAAGATGAAATGAAAGCTTTAACTGACTTTTAGTTTGTTTGTTACATATTACCTGAAAAAGATTAAATAGCCCTTAAGAATCTTGCAAAAATCAGTAGGGGTTTAATTAATTTAAAGTGGTCGTTGTGTATCGAACAAAAGCTCCGATGAAACGTGCAAACACAATACTTCGCGGTCAACTTACCCGCAATTGTCCCTCTTCATCTCGCATTCGTTGCGATAGAGCTTGTTGTCGGAGCCGCAAACAAACTGACGCTCCCCAGTGCAGATTTGGTTGCAGAGCGCCGTGGTGCGACAATGTTGCGCCGGAACTTGAACCACCCTCTGGCCGCAAGTCTCACGCCGCAGATGGCAGAGGGACCTACAATACATACGCATATGACGAAGGCGAATAACTCGTCCGCTACTTAAGCCTTTAACGATCACCCTCGTTACGACGCGCCGCGTTCGAGTCTCCTCCGAGTTTTTCTTTTTTATTTCAGAATTCCTTTATGTATTTCTTGATTTTTATAGAAAAGAATTCACAGTCTTATAAATGTGACAGTCGGTTACGCACAGTTAGTCGTCTTGACCAACATATTTTTTCATAGCTCGATTCGAGCGAAATTCCTTAAATTTAAATTAGAATTTATTTGGCTCGGATCAGCGAATACGAGTATTTGGATGAAAATAGCGGTTAGTAGCGGATTTTAATAACGAGCCTCCTGTTAGGTATCTATCTCTAACGAATGACCGTCGGCGGAGATTCACGCGCCCTTAAACCTTCGGCGCTGGAATCCAAATAACTCTCTTAATCACCGATAAACATTGCCGTCGCTTCCACAAACTGGTTCCTCGGGTACTTCATCGCAGTCTTCGGGGCACTGTTCGATCTCCTTCAAGGTCGTACACTCACCAACATGAGCTAATTGGATGCCTTTTCTGAAACGCCGAGAAAGATTAGACGTCATTTTGATCGTCGATGGGGATCGATTGATTAATTATTAATTAATTGATTCATTGCGACGTTGTCACGATTGGAGTGACTTCGCATCAACATCGTGCCGTTTGTTACATTCAAAGGTTACGTTTGTCAGTCATGCTAATTGAATAAACATTACTTACAAGCAAACTGCCACGTTCAAGTGGCACTGGTTCGGGTAGGTATTCGCGTCGCTACCGCAAACCGGATCCACCTCACTTCCGCACCTCTGCTGTTGCTTCGTGCATTTCGTTAGCCGGGATCGACACTTCTCGAAGTCCACTACCGTTACCTTTCTTCTCGCATGCCTGTTGATTAATACTTCGTTCAAGATTTACGAGCGCGATTATTCGCGCACTTTTATTTCTCTAGTGAGAACGAGTTTATTTGTTTCCTATGGCATGACAGCCGCGATAAATACGTACCCGCAGTTTAGCATTTGCATCTCGCATTCATTCCTGTATATACTTCCATCCGATCCGCACACCGACACTTCTGGCTCATTTTTGCAGTCCAAGGGACACGCGTTCGATTGGCCCCCGGACGTCCGTTCCCGCGACACGCAGAACGACATCGGCACTTCGAAGATGTGTTTGCTGAAAAAACATAGCTCGATGAATACGTCGTTACTCTTTCAATGATAATTCTCGCGATTAAAGATCGCGATGGAGAAAAGAGAATTTTAGGATACATCGGACGATGACAGTGAGTCTCTGGAAATTCTTCAATATCATGGGATATTCGCGTAAAAATCCCCCTGAAAAGAAGCGATTAGCTTGATTGAGAGGCAAAGGAGGCAGCTCGAGTGTTCTTGAAGGGTTTATAACGAAGAGAGAGAGAGGAAGCGATTCTCATGAATGATTAAGTGCGCGAGGATAGGGCGGCGGGAGGAAGAGAGAAGGGAGGGTTACGAGTGGAGATTTTTCCTAGGTGGATGCGGTCCCGCCAGCAGGACTGCGCTTACCCGCAGTTCTTCGCTCGCATTTTGCAGGTGTTCGAGTACAAAATGCCGTCGCTACCGCAGGCAGGCTTGGCACCACGCCAGCACGACTCACGACAATGTCTTGTGGTCTGGCAATGTTTCTTATTCGTACGCACGACGCCTTGGCTGCGAACGAGAAAACGAAAAGTCAAAAGCGATCTTGCGGCGGAGGCTAGTTTTATGTTAGACTTAGCGAACAAACTCCCCTCCGCTCCCCTCGCGTTACGCGCACATATTTTACGAGGAGAGGTAGTGAACCGTACTGTGAGAAACCTATTCATCGCGCAGTCGCGGGAAGGTATCTTTTTCTCACGTGAAAAGCAAACACATTCCAGTGAAGCGACATAGACAACATAATCGCGAGGAAGTATTAATGAATTGAATTCCACCGTGGAGGAATAATTTGCTCGTAGCGGGCAAAACCAGGCGATTCGAGCCTCGGCTTCTGAGATGCGTTGCTATCTCCTGGCGATAATCGGCGAAGTTGTTCGACGTACCCGCAAGTGAGCAGCTTCATCTGACACGTAGACTTGTAGACGTTTCCGTCGCTTCCGCAAACCGGTCCGTCGAGCGGCGCGAAGTCGCACGAGACCGGACAGTTTTCCCTGTGGGCCGAAATATTGTTGCACGGCCCAAGATGAGACAACTCGATCCCGACTCGGCAGATTTCCACCCTGAGCATGCACTTGTTCAGGTAGGTACGCCCATCTGTACCGCATACCGGATCTTGATCGCCCGGACAGCGATGCTCGCACTTGCTACCGGATGACCTCAGGCAAGCCGTCTTCTCCGTGGCCACGGTAACGCCTAAACGAAATAATGAGATACACGTATAGATTTCGCGCGAGTCATCGAGCGAAACGAGATGCCGCGTTGTCCAACAAATCACCCCGCGTGCACTATAACGCGTAAATAGTCCGTTTCGACGCTCTAGGAAATCGCGCGATTCGTTTCGAATAATTGATCGTAGCCGTCCGCTTTACAAATGAGCGAATCCTCGTTACCGCTTAGACTCCCAGCGCGGCTAGGCAGAGAGAGAGAGAGAGGGGGAATCTCTTCATCGTTCGCGCGGTAAGACCGGCGCTTTCGTCGTTTCCGCGATTGTAATTGAAGCGCGCGCCTCGATAAACCGCTATTAATGTGACGACGAAGGAAAGGGAGGAAATCTCGTGTAACCAGAGCGTACTTTCGCATACGGTAGTAATCAAAATACCTTTTCCGCACATCTTCTTCCGCATCTCGCACTGCGACGCGTAAATGACACCGTCGCTGCCGCAAACGGGCTCGCCGCTCGGTGGGCATATCCTGGGACACGCTCCCGACACGTAATCTGTGTGAAAAGAGAAAAACATTAATTGATGATATAATGAATACCTCAGGATTGAATATATACGTGAGCAACAACAATCGTCGAGAAGCGCGAGAAGATGCACGCATCTCTCGTCATAAACGATCGTGGAAAGTGCGCTTGTACGGTTCTCTCGCTTAAACTACGTACACCTTCCTGCCGGATTTTTCTAATAGATACCTTCTACCCGAGTACGCCCGAGTACTGTTAGGAAAGCGAAATTTAAGCGTCAACGGTAGCTCCGTTAGAAAAAGAATAAAAGAATAACGTTTACTGTTAGGTACTTCGTTTTGTTATGCGCCATCAACGTAACACATACCTCGCGTATCAAGAGCCACGCTTGTCTATTATTCTAATGGCGTAATTGTAATAATAATGCTTAAGCATATATAACGCGAGTCGAGTACAGGGAGGAAGTAAAGTCAACAGCAAAAAATAAATACCTGCCTAAGTGGCAGGGGGTGGGAGAGAGAGAGAGAGAGAGAGAGAGAGAGGAAGTGAGTCGTACGCATGGTTTAACCATAATACGGAATAACCAAGTTATCGCGGGATCTTCCGACAAAACGATCGCTCGAATGTCCAGGATATTGCAGCTCATTGAACATAGGAAGTCCATTAAATAATGAACGCGCGGGACGAAGATGCGCGTATCGTGGAAACGTTTAATGCGGCGATACGATCGGGATAAGATCGCGAGAGGATCCTGCTGAGGTGGAGTAATCGCGACGTGAAGTTTATACGGAATGCATCGTATGTGCAGCGCATATCTCTCTATTCGACATACGTATTAGACGGTTGTTAAACATCTTCAGAGGATCCCTATCGCGCGCGCGCGCGCGAGCTTTTACGACGCGACACGCACGTGATTTCCCGAAGCCTCGTGCTTTTACCGCGCCGGATACCACAGGGATGAAGTAATTGTATATCGCGAGAACGTTCCTGGGAAATATATATATATATCGTGTGAGCCGGCGTATCACGGTCGCGCGAGCTTTTACGAGAAATAAAGGCTGCTGTGCCGTCGCATTTCGCGTATTATAGTAGGCGGAGGATGCGAAGCGCTATATTAAACGGGGCATTCTATATGGACAGAAATAATGCGTAGGCCGTGTTGAGGCAGTATTTAAGATTGCGACGGGAGAAAGAAAGAAAGGAAGAGAGAGAAAGGGGCATGTAACGTAATTTCCTGAGGTCTTTCGTGGTCGCTCTTTTTGGCCATACCGTAGCGTTTATCCGCAGAATTCTCTGTCGAAACCTTAATTACTTCCGGTTGACCGTCGAGCAGATATCTGCCGTGCAGGTCCGCGCGCCGGTCTCGGTCCAGCGCCCGTCGGGTCAACAGCACACGGGATTTACGGCGCTCGTTCCATACCGGATCGCATAATATATAACAAATTATAAAATCGGATTGTACAGTTAAGGATATGCCGGGTGTCCGAGGGCGCGGTCGCCATCCGTTTTCGAGTATCGAGGAAATGCATCGAGCCGCGCTTTATTACGCGGATCTCCGATCAATGCGCGAGTTCAAGTGTTATTTATCGACCTTGAAAATTACACCACTATAATTAGTAAGCGATAAATCGGATTCGTTTCTGAAAGAGATTCTGGCATCGACGACGACGCGTTTCTACGCGACGGAAGAAGAAGTATGCAATTCGAAAGTATGCTGTTTGAAATGGAATCTGTTATAAGTATAGCAGTGGCATTAGTAAAGTTTCTCTGCAAGAATTTAGTCGATAGTAGTCAGTAAAATATTAGAATTTACAGAAAAATCTCACTTTGATTAGCCAAAGGGTGGCAATCTACTTTTCGCATTCAACGCTGACAAAATTATTTATAACTTTGTTTATATAATAATATGTAGAAATTGCTCTGTATATATTTCAAGTACAGATAAATATTTATAGAAAGCTTCAGAATTGTGTATTTATAGTTTTACCGAAAAAAATTCTCCGAAAACTCATTTACCAAACAAAACGTTCCAAATGAGAATACCTCCTTAAGAGAGTATATTTGATTCGGTGTCTCATCATTTTCGACCTCGTTCGCGCGCGTCGTGCCCGTCTCGATCGGCCACGAAACGATCGAGATTCTTCGCAAGATTTCGTTCGGAAATCAGGACACAGCCGCGCGGGTACGCCACGCGGATCAGCGTAGAGTAAAACGGGTTTACGAGTAGCTATAATTACAGTGATTACGATTTATCGATCGACCGACACCGCTTAATGACTCCGAGCCCGTCGTACATCAACGCAGGGCGATATCTAAATTGAATTCATCGCGCGCGTAAGCGTCGCTGATGAGTTCCGAAGTTGTCGTCTCTCTCTCTTTCGAAAAAGGCCGAAAGTGTAACGCGCGCATACGGCCGCTCTTTCGTCCGCAGGCAGAATCGATCGTACCGCGCTGCCCTGTAACCCGCTCTGCCTATCGATCACTCGCGTTTTTAATTGCGATGCGCCGCGCCTACCTCCCTTCATCATTTCCGCCATATTACGCGCCGCAATAACGCCCGACGGAGTAATAATTAAAAAGCAAAAAAAAAGAAGCGCTTCGTGGCCGCGAACTTCTATTCACGCGAGATATTTCGCGCGCTTAATGAACTACGAAACGACCTTGCGTTTCGCGCGTACGTTTACCATCGACGTTCCGTAATTAGCCTCGGTGCAAGACGGTAATTGCTTCAATCGCCGAAGATTTTCCCGTATTTATTCTTTCAGCTTTCAGATAATCCTTGCCGTCCATATTTCGCGAAGAGAACGGAATTTTCTGTAAAAGAACGCCTTTATTGGAGTATCATTTCAAAACTATCGTATAGAGATAATCAGAGGCTCGAGATAAATAAACGTGAAAGACATGTCGATATCATTAAATGAATAATAAATAGTCGCGTATTACGTTCGTTGCCGGCGAGAAATTCGATCGTCCGCAGACAACCGGACAATTCGTTCCTCCCTCGTCACGATTAAATGAATCAATTATGCCAATAAGCAGTCGACGTCTGGATAGGCGGCGATCGGCGATTGGCGAACAATGCAGATCGAATTATATGACCGTAGAAAGTACGGGTCGCGCGCGTGCATGCACGCGGCGCGATGCACAATGAATGCGCCCGGGTAGGGAAGAGAGGAGGAGAAGAAGGGGAAAGCACATGCGGGTCGGTGAACCGCGGCAAGGATGCACCGGCCGGGTGGATGCTGCTCTTGGCATTTTTGTCCTCGAAACGAGAGCCCGAGGAAGGGACGGAGCGGCTCGCGCGAGTCGAGATCGATAACGGCTGAAATGAAGATCGGTTTAACGAACCGGAACGATTTCGTGTACGCGAATGTGCCGCGCGGCTCGTAAGTAAAACGATTAATGCCGAGTGTCATCCTTTGTTCTTCCTTCCTGGCCCGTGGTCAGCTGACCGGATGCCGTTCTCGACGGCGGATACGAGCGTCTCTTTGCACTCGCCTTGGATTCATTTCACCGACGGCACTTTCTCTCTCTCTCTCTCTCTATCTGTCTTCGCTTTATATATGTTCGCTTCATCCGTCGATCTCGTTGCAACGACGTTTGATTTCGCGACCGGAGGCAAAAGCTCGCGCTCCTGATGGATGTACCGCCGCGAAAACCAGAAATAGAAGTGAAACCAGGCAAGACGAACAAGCTCACGCCACTCGTAATTGATGGCGGAGCGATCGCGCATATTACGCGGCTACGCGGGCGCTTACTATGCGCTGCGTATACGAATCGGACGCGTGCGCCCGCTAGCTTCCCGGAGTTATGTAGTAATCGCGCGTCTCCATTCCTCGAGAATCCCTCGGCAACGAATACTCGTTAGGACGCGTGACAAATTGAAGGAAGTACCAACCGTGCGTGCCTTACGGCGACCGCTCGACTAAATAGATTTTGCCATTTTTAACGACACAATTACCGGGTGTGCCGTTGGCGAGCTATTTCGAGAAGATCCGTCCACGGAGAAATCGAGTTTGCCCCCACCGACTCATTGAGATTTTACGATTATTAGACGTGATAAGACGCTTGTCCCGGCGTGCATTACAGTCGAAATTATCGCTGTTCCATTTTATTTCGCGATTCCAACGTTGCACTCATCGCACTAGGAAACGCGCACGTTAGTCCGCGATTTACTTAGTTATCGCGTACGCGGCGCGGGAAAGTTTCCCTCGACGAGGCGAGGAAGGCCCGTGGTTACTTTACACAGCAGGAGGAAAATAGGCGTACTCGAAGTATAAATTATTCAGTCGTCCGTGCGTACGTCGTCGATATGAAACACTGATGCGTATCGTAGGCTCGTTACGTGCTATTACGATGACGTCGTCGCTCAATCTTGGAATTCCGTATCCGCTGAGGACGACCCACGAATACATTTGGATCGATCACCAAGCACCCTGTTCTTATGCGAAGTATATACATTGACATTAGAGGTAATTAACATAGTCTTGGTTATTTTTGCGTTGATTTGTCTAAATTCTCTAATGAAACATACAATCCACACTGCTTGATACAATTCGTTGTAACGTTATACGTCGCGTTTAATTTTCGCTTCTGCTCTTTCATTCTCAACCTCTTCATCTATAAAACAGTCTCTCGTGACGATAGAGTGATCTTCGAGGGTAAATCGATGATACGCTGATATGCATCTTCGTGATAGTATATCAGTCATTACACAACCGGTTTGCGATAACATCGGTCATGGTAAAGCTCACGTACGGTCGCACAAGTATTCGTGCGAGAAACGTGTAAATGACAGTTTCGACGGATCATTCGCAGCCTCGGTCCATTTTATATGTAATGTTTCGTCTTGGCGAACTTCCACTGATTTTCATGTTTTCCACGGAGAAAAATAATTTACTGCACTGAGAAACTCATTTAGTCGAATCAACTAAATTCTTGTTTGGCTATGGGCAAACAAATGTTTTGTTATAAAAACCAAGGTTTAATTTTGTGAAGCAAAGGTTTGGTTCCTTGAAACCTCTAAAATTTCTCTTTCGCGTCTAATCCCGAGGATGTTTGGGATCGCGCGTTACTTCGTTCGATTTTCCCGAACGATCTCTCGGTCTCCGCGTAATTACGCGCTCGCGAGATGTTATTGTCGATTTAACGTCCATTCCACGCGAGGGCGTACCGTAAATCATTTGCAGTCGATAGCGTCAAAATCACGGGAGTTCGTGCTCGCGCATTCTCAGCAGCAACATCGGGGGGGGGGGGGGGGG